ACCAATTCCATACACTACTACAAAACTTAGACCCAAAAATCAAATTCACGCAAGAATATAATTTTAACGAATTACCATTTTTGGATATACTCATTAGAAATAAAAACAACCACATAATCACAGATATCTACCACAAGCCCGCAGACACCCAACAATACCTTCACCTGCCTAAAATCCATCCCCTATTCCCTAGCACGTAGAATTTGTACAATAGTGACTGATAAACATCTCCGAAAAATCCGCTTAGAAGAACTACATAAAACTCTCAAGGAACGAGGCTACCCCACAACACTAATAAACAAAGGTATTGAACTAGTGAAAGAAATTCCTCTAGACCAACTTAGAAATAAAAAGAAAGGTAACGTCGAACAAACTCTAGTTAGCATATGTCTCAAAGTACAACAAAAACAATCCAGAAATATTCCCAGAAATCACAAAAAATCTAGATTTACTTAGCAAGAATAATAAACTGAATAATATACTAAAAACAACCAAAATAATTAAGAGCAAACGCCAATCTAGAAACCTAAAACACATGTTAACCTCAACTAAATTTAACCAACACAAAATACAGGGAGTCTCAAAATGCAACAAAAAAAGATGTGGGGTTTGTGACATCATTATAGAAGGAAACTCCTACACTTTTGAAAACCCCAAAAAAAACATTCACAATAAATAAAAACTTAAACTGCAACTCCAAAAATGTAATTTATGCACTTAAATGCACAAAATGTAAGAAGTCATATATAGACATCAGCCAACAACTGAACAACAGGGTCTTCCTACACAAAAGCAATATAAAATTGACAGACAACAGAAAACTTTTTGTATCACAACACATTTTCAAATGTAACCAGGGTAAGTTTAATATCATGCCGATATGTCAAACAGACAATTACTCGTATCTACAAATACAGGAAAAAAACTTTATAGACAAATTTAAACCCGAACTAAATAGATCGTAACCCCACACACAAAAACATACAACATGGACACAGGGTGACCAAATACAATGATCAAATCGCTCACATACATGGACGCACACTCATATACGGGGGACACGAGGAGATATATATATATGTATGTACACATACATACATACGTTTATGTATGTATATGCGGATGTTGACAACTTAAGAAGTACGTGTGTGTTTGTGCGTGTATGTGTGTGTGTGTGTACTGGTTCCATGTAGCTTGGGAAATATGTGTGTATATGTGTGTGTGTGTGTGTGTGTGTGTGTACTGATTACTTGTGGTGGGATAGTGTGTATGTGCGTATGTGTGTGTATGCGTGTATAGGTACAAATAAGTTTACGAATTCTTCGTAGTAAGACATTATGGTATGGAGGGGAAATATACGCACGCATATATACACGCATGCTGACAGGAACACACCAAATTGGAAACAGATCCAAGAGCACATAGGGGTCACTCAAACATTAAAAGATAAAATGCCGATAACTACTCGCTGGACCAACCTTAATTGTTTTATGACCCTTCGCGCAGAACTCTTCATTGACAATTCTAGAAAGAAATTCGGATTACCAACACACAAACAGAGAATGTCTCATATCGAGAATATTTCACATTGAATATGAAGAAAAATTAATTATTTTTAATAATATGTAGAAATCTCCACTTTTACCTGAAGACGGTCGCGAGACCAGAAACACGTGTCGTAAAATTATGTAAAACAAAGCATAATATTTTTTCTAAATAAATTCACATTACAACCAAAAACGTTCGCGGCACCTCTCTTCTCTTCTTTTTAATATACATACTTTTCTCTCGTTGGAACCACTATAACATATTTTTTTTATATATATATATATATATATATATATATATATATATATATATAAGGATGTATTTCTAGATATTTATGTGTTGCAATATATATATATATATATATATATAATTACATAAGGATGTTTTTTTATGCTTATATTTCTACTTATGCGTATATGGTGTGATTATAAATATATATATGTGCGTGTCTATGTATGTTTATGTATATTTATATGTATGCATATATATGTGTGTATGTATGTGTATGTGTATATATATATATGTGTACATGTGTTTGCATATATATATATATATATATGTGTGTGTGTGTGTTTATATATGTATGTGTATTTATGTGTATAGATATATGTATATTTATGGGTATGAATGTATGGATATAAAATTTTGTATATGTATTTGTGTATGCACTTACTTAAATTTTTTATATGTATTTGAGTGTCTATATGTAAGTGTTTTATGTGTTTGTGTATGTGAGTATATATAAGTGTAAGTATGTATATGTATATATTTGTGTGTTGGTGTATCTTTAAGTGTACATGTGTACAACCTTTATATATATATATATATATATATATATATATATATATATATATATATATATATACAGAAAAAGGTTGGATGTTTCTACGTGTAAATCCCTTGGCTAATTAATTTAAATCTTTTGGTAATTATATTAATAACTTGTACTAATTTACATTAAAGTTTAAATTTTTCACTAAATTCAGAATATCATTTAAAACCAACTGAACAAAACACTAATTTTGAATATAAATTATAAATGATTTGTTAAATCATGGCTGGTGATTGAGCTAGACTCTATGTATTTCTAATTTCCATTCACTTAACAAGACTTTTATTTACTCTCTTCCTTATTTGCTATATTAATATAGCGAGTTAAATCTGAAATCAGTATATTAAATTAGGTCACCACAAACCTTAAAGTCTGTTGAAAAAAGATCATAATTCTATTTCACCCCCACCTTTACATGATCCTATATTGGCATCTTTCTTTTTCCCACTCCCTCAATAAAATTCCAGTGTTTCTTAACTTTAACCTGGAGTAATTTTTCCGTTTATATTTGGTTTGCAGGTCTGAAAGGTTGAAAACTATTTTTATAGCTTTCATGAAATAAAATTATTCCTATGGGATTTTTAAGTGTTTGATATTCATTATATATATATATATATATATATATATATATATATATATATATATATATATATACACCTGATAACACCCTCGAGGGCTTATCCTTGGAGCGGGGTATAATGGAGATCAGCGTGTTTTAGTTTTAATGAGAGCAAGATCTAAAAGGTCAGTCAATCTAACAGCGACGTCATCCCACAATCCTTACTCTTGCTCCCTATGCGGCCTCTATTTGAATCACTAGCGGGTCTTAAGGGCCAAAAAATTTTATTTGAATATATATATATATATATATATATATATATGTTAAGAAATGGACAAGGTCCGACAATTTATTTATTAAAGACATTTTTATTTATGTTTAACGTTGTTATTTTATAGATACAAGTATTTAAGCAAATGCTCTGTTTATGATAAACAGTATTAAATAACATTTACCGGCCTGAATGTCCGAGAAATTTTCATAGAAAATATTCGTTCATTGACAGAATTCGAACCTGCATCCTATACGGAACCGTCATATACGCTGACGTGCCTTACCTCTGGGCCACAATGAACCTTATGGTAGACAAGGTCGAATTTACTGTTTATAAACTCCAATTTTCCATGAATCTCGTACATTCATAACTGCTCTGGCGTATCGAATGTAAATTTCTCGGACATTCAGGCCGGTAAATGTTATTTAATACTGTTTATCATAAACAGAGCATTTGCTTAAATACTTGTATCTATAAAATAACAACGTTAAACATAAATAAAAATGTCTTTAATAAATAAATTGTCGGACCTTGTCCATTTCTTAACATATGACGTCATTTGTTTACATTCGATACGCCAGAGCAGTTATGAATGTACGAGATTCATGGAAAATTGGAGTTTATAAACAGTAAATTCGACCTTGTCTACCATAAGGTTCATTGTGGCCCAGAGGTAAGGCACGTCAGCGTATATGACGGTTCCGTATAGGATGCAGGTTCGAATCCTGTCAATGAACGAATATTTTCTATGAAAATTTCTCGGACATTCAGGCCGGTAAATGTTATTTAATACTGTTTATCATAAACAGAGCATTTGCTTAAATACTTGTATCTATAAAATAACAACGTTAAACATAAATAAAAATGTCTTTAATAAATAAATAAATATATATATATATATATATATATATATTTCGAAATATATAACATGATAAGTAGAGAGATTTTTTGTGTGTTATCCCAACTCTTTTTTGTCCCCGATTTTCGTACTTACTATTGAGTTGGTGAAATGCCAAAAGTGTGGGGGTTTTGCCGGAGTATCTGGTTGGGGTTGGAGCAGTAAATGATTTCCCTGGAAGTGCAATGCGTCGTATTCATGACAGAACGATATAAAATCTACTAAGGAATGAAGAAAACTTTGTTTTGTGTAGTTACTATTTCTTTCTTTCCCACTCGACGAACAAAAAATACTATCACTCCTTATATTAAAACAACGTAAAGCAGTTTCTTCTTTATATCAATAATAACCTGATATGGTTTAAGAGTGGAACATATTACTGGGAACTGACTTCTCGTCCTAGAGTTTGATCAATGAGAAGCAAAATTAAACCTGACAGGAGAAAGGTAAGGACTTGCTATTTAATTGGCTGGTTGCTCTGTCGCAAATTGAGGAGAGTTCCATGGAGAGGGAGAAATACACACACGGAACTAAGATTACTACGCTTCTTCAGCTTTCTCGATTTTACTGTTTCAGAATTAAGACGTGGCATATTTTTCTTTGCATCATGTTTGCATTTTTATTCCAATTAGTGAATAAGACCTGTTAAATCCGTGGCTTCACACTGGTATTTTCCTTAGGGGCCTTTTTGAAGGCTTTGCCTGTCGCCTTGTAAATTGCTTACTGAAAATTCGACTCTGTTGGAATCCATTCCAACGAAAGTGACACGAGTACACGGTTGAACAAACAACAACAGTCCGTTTCGGTTAACTTGAAAACCTAGAAAGTCAATACACCTACAAGTCCGTTATTTCTAAACATAAATAGTGTTGCAGTCGGGAAAATAAAAATGTTGTTCAGCCTCTGTGTCTTTGTGCGTGTGTGAGAGCGTGTGTGTGTGCGTGTGTGTGTTTCTCAATATAATTTCACATATCTCCTTAGAATTGTACCCTATCTGTGCCTGTTTCTTCCTTCTCCTATCTATCTATCTACCTCGTCTTCTATCTATATATCTATCTCTCACAGTCACGTCGTATCTATCTATCTATCTATCTATCTATCTATCTATCTATCTATCTCGTCTGCTATCTATATATATCTATCACTCACAGTCACTTCCTATCTATCTATCTATCTCGTCTGCTATCTATATATCTATCTCTCACAGTCACTTCCTATCTATCTATCTCGTCTTCTTTCTATATATCTATCTCTCACAGTCACTTCGTATCTATCTATCTATCTATCTATCTATCTATCTATCTATCTATCTATCTCCCTCGTCCGCTATCTATATATCTATCTCTCACAGTCACTTCGTATCTATCTGTCTATCTATCTATCTCATCTGTTATCTATATATCTATCTCTCACAGTCACTTCGTATCTATCTATCTATCTATCTATCTATCTATCTATCTATCTATCTCAGATTCTTCATATCTATCTATCTATCTATCTATCTATCTATCTATCTATCTATCTATCTCGTCCGCTATCTATATATCTATCTCTCACAGTCATTTCGTATCTATCTATCTATCTGTCAATCACAAGAAAGTGAAACTGAATATACACGATATGAAGCTGCTACTCACAAATTATGTGGTTATATTCATCCATGTATTCATAACCCAACGGGTTTTACTCCAACAGCAAGTTTCTTTTTCGTCACCGAGGCCCGTGGTATAGTTTGTATATCGTTTGCGCTGTAACGAAACGGTCCGTGTTCGATTCTTGGTAGTTGATGCGCACTGCTGCTAAATCCCAAATACGACGAAACGGGCGTCCAGTGATTTCTGCATTATGTTATGGATTCTTCTAGATTTGATGAATTACTATATTGATTATTCCAATTCCACAAAATTCTATCACGTTTATATCTTTACTTGACCCAGCTAACGCTCTATGATCGAGAGCGTTGCTATTGGTTTATAAATACTTAGGTGAGTATCACCTCGGTATTTGTGAGAAGCGGCGCTATATCGAGTCTATTCAGTTATCACTGCTAGTTAGAAGCAATGAACAACAGCAGTGAATAACTGTCTCTGAAGAAAGGGAACGTTATCTGTATTTTCTCGTAGGTTGTTAATTCTGGTCGGTCCTTTTGTTGGTCAAACGGTTTTTTTTTTTCAAGTTGTTTTTAAAATAGAGGATGGGAGACTTTAAGAAGGCCCTCCTTGGTCATTTTGACAGTAAGGGGATGTTTGCGTTCAGTGCATGTTATCTATTACTGCTTTCTGAGATGAGGCATTATGTACACTATTTACATAGTACGCTCCGGTCTTCTTTAGGGGTTGAAAACTGAACCCTTTATTTCGCTCGCTGGAGTAGACTGTTCTAGTTCCACGTGCCATACCTAATGAATGTCAGTTAACAGTTAATTTCCCCCTGAAAGTTCTCCACTGCCTTAACGAGGTACTGAACTCATTCTTTGGGTCCTGTCACTGGATCTAACGCCTTTATCCACTGTGCCATATGTCCTTGAGGGCATTTGTGTATGTGTTTCTGGGAGTTAATGTCTTCAGCAATCATTTCTTACCACTGCTCATATTGCAATTTTCGCTGTTATCCTTTCATTTTTTTTTACCAGAGCTCATATTGCAATTTTCTTTATTATTATTGCTTTTCTCTGGCACTCCTTATTACTGGTTCCCATATTGTATTTATTTCTATGCTTGGTCGGTTCAGGAGATTTTTGTGGCCTAACATGATTCCTTAAGTTTACATATTTTCCAATTCTTTTCTTTTTCTATGATTTCATCTTGATCTCACAGAGGGCGGTAATCTCCCTTTTCTCTCCCTATGTGGTCAGCCACGCCTGATTTTTCCACTTCCCCTCGTTTTAAAACTTTTTTTAGTGTTCTTGAAGCCTTACCTCAAGGAGGCGGCTTGTATCCCCTCTATATTTCTATCCACAGCTGCACGGGATGTCATAAACTCAGTCTTTAGTCATTCCAACAACTTGAAGAAAGCCGGAGCGTACAACGGCCGAAACGTTTTGATAAATATAGCAAAAAAGATGAGGATGATAGTCCGACCAATGTAAATAGTGTTCTTTGTGATGGGTTATGTATTAATTCTATGTTGTTAAATTTCTGGTTTAGTCCGTGTGGACGAAATGCTTTGAGTCACAAAATCCATTTGTCTTCATGTTCCTCTAGCATTTGTTGTAAGGTCATCTTTTCTGTATATTTCTATTGTGAATTTTGCATGGCTTTTAAAATCCTGTTTTCTTTCTTGGTGGAAATGTTGTTCTACAGGTAATAATCTTTCCTGAAGAGCCGATTCAAATTATTAATTCCCACACATTGTTTCTAGCATAGTGGGCATTCTAATAAGTAAAGTATGTTATGACTTCTACAGATAGAGTTGTGGTAGATTTTGAAAGTAGATTTAGTGACTGAGTTAGTGAATGAATTGATATTTCTAATGTGGTAAAATATAAGCATCCTTTACACTTACAGATTTGCATTTATATATATATATATATATATATATATATATATATATATATATATATATATATATATATATCTATATATATATATATATATATATATATATATATCAAGGAGGCTCTGATTGAAGTATCGGAGTGCCAAGTTCGAATTCCAGTCGAATCCATTACAATCACTTACGTGCTAATACCATTTGAAAAGGTATAAATCCTCTTCTTCTCTCTCCAGCTATGGGTAAATAGCAGCACAGACACTGGGTTCTATAGCCTTGGATGGCAAATGGTCTAGGAGAAGGACAACTCTGAATTCAAAACCTCTGGAGGGTCGTTTGGGAACCTTGTGGTACGTAGTGCACCAGGTCTCTGTATTCGACACTTCCAAAAGTGTGGTTAGTTCTACACAAAGCCTTCTCCACTAGAATCAAATCTTGTGTTGGTGTTTGGGCTGTTAGTTCCTAGGAACTGAACTGCTTGTTCCTCATACGTCGAATACGACGGGAATGTCCACCTTATATATGCATTTCACCCCTGCAAGGCGAGTTACCGAGTGTGAAAGAATATGAGAAAAATAAACATTATTAAGGAGAGAAAAAAATAAAATTCGAGGAATTAATGAGACAGAAGATAATGATTGGCATTGCATTTAAATTTTTGAAGATGAAATTTAAAAGGAAAGCAATAAAGTCGGAAGTGAGTTCCACAAACGAGACTTCCGAAAGGGGAAACTGATTACAAGTGTTAATTACAACGGTTAGTTGATAAGTCCTCGTTGCCAATCTAGTATTTCGCTTAAATTCGAGCTAACAAACGGGAAATCTTATCAGAATAATTACATAGAAAATATTATAGAAAAGGCACAGTTAAGGTGATAGGAAAGTGAATGAATTCGATATGCTAGGGCAGGATCTATAATATTGCAGATTCTTATTGCCTCCCATTATTACTTTGGCTAACAATCCTTTCAGTTTTCCCTCTGAGTTTGTCATTACTGGTAAGTTTTCTGGTGAGAAAACACAGAGTTCTCCTGAAAGACCCGCTACAAATTTCCTCTTCTAACAAACTATACTAAGCATAGTAAATAACCATGATGAGAGATCGGCTAGTATGAGTTTGTGTAAATACTGCCTCCCCGAGTTATGTTTTAGATCTATCTTGTCTTTTATCGAGACATGGCACAAATTAGACGTCCTTCTATCCCACTGATATATTTCTCAGACAAGACTTTCATTTTGTATAAACTGCAACTGGTTACAATGTTCGGATGGACTGATCATATTATTGCCAATATCCAAACCTGATGAGAAAGCTATAATCATAAATTGATATTTAATTACTGTAGTGTATTCGAGAATATACTAGACATTCTGCACTTCCGTTCTGATACCTTTTTAATCAATAGTTAGCAAATATTTGGATATCGACCTAAATATTTATCTTTATTTAAATATCTCCGTTCAGATTCTCTCAAATCATTTTCATATTTTCTTTAATGTTTGCTTTCCCGCATTATTTCTCAGTTGACTTAGTGTTGGTATACTTGTGTTTTTGGAAATATGTATCTATTTTATGCATCCATAACAACTTGTATGCGTACACAAATTTTAAAAAAGTAAAATGTTGAATTCTATAGAAATTGCAGTTTAAACTCGCTGTTTCTCTTTTTCACTCTTGAAATGTTCCTTGCTTTCCATAGCTCCACCTGTGTTTACAGCGCTGCCATATTTGTTCGTTACGTCGACACTGTTTCCCATCATCACCCGTCTAAAATGTTAAAGCATAACACATCTTTTTTGTTTTTTAATATTTCAAAAACTAATTATCCGAAAAACATTTTTACCTTTTATAACTGTGTTTTAAATCTAAATTTGTTCTATTTCACACCTACGGTTTCGAAAAAAAAGAAACTTTTGATTTTGTAATTTCGTATTTGGTTCGTCTTTTCAGTCTTGTTTTGGTTGTAATCTTTATTTTCCGATAGAAATAAAATATTCAAAATGATCGATTGCCAACACTTTCTAATCAGTATTTCTATCCAACTGACACGATCGATCATGATGCACGATCGTGTCTATTCAGGCCAAAACAAGAATGCATCTTGGAAACTCAGTCCAATTTCGACATACAAATTGATTTTGATATATTAGGTTGATGTAATATTTAAAGGTTCTACTTTTGCACATTTTAAAATATATCTTGCAAGTCTCTTTGAGAGAAACACAGCTTATTTAAGAGTCTGATATGATCTTCACATTGATATTGAAATCATTTATTTATTGTCAATAATTAGAAAATATTCATTTATGCATAGGAATTCAGAACGACCTAAAATGCGAAAATATGTAGTCTTTCATCCTTTGACAAGTATTTCGCTGCTCTAAATTTACAAGTTGGTGAATTGAACTGTGTTTGAATTGGCGAATCAATTATTTAGAAAGGTACAAGATTTGTAGCAATGCGATGAAAGAAACATATATTATCTTTCACATTTATAGTCCCATACTAGTTAATAAAATGAGTTATTGCAGCCAGTAGCACCATTCTATCAGTCAAAATGATCTTTCCCAGAATGTTTACAAAAAAGAATTTATAGGGGACAAAACGTTTGTTTTCATGGAGTTAACCGATCCGGACAAATGAAGGAAACCTCTTTCTAGAATTCATCAAACATATGCCAGTTCCTCTTTTTATCTGAAATTCACGTGCCTCCATTTAATATTGTGTTGCTTGATTCTTGATTTTGGAAAAAGGTTGTTGACCTGCACTCTTGCCTTCCCTTGCTTTTTGTAGAAACTGAAACAAGTTGACAGAACTGCTTTGGACAAAAGAATACTTTGTAACTAAAAAAAGACTTTATTTTAAGAAAACACATGAAAAAAGAAGCCTATGAGATCAGTATATGACAGAGATTCCACTACAAACGAATGTCGTTTCCCGAGTGGCTAATACCACCAAGATCACAAAGGATTCTAAAATTTCAGGAAGGTAACTTGAAACCTGACACTGAATTACTCAATTGAACAAACAGGACAGAATCGTTCAGATCTAAACACGGAATATATATGAACAGACTGAGATAGATGCAATAGATGCAAGGAAATTAGGGTCACTGTGTTTCTTATATCAGAGCCAATCTTGCAAATCTACTATTCGTCAGTGCTTTGAACACTGCTATCATATCTGGTCTGGTGCTCCTGCTATTCATCTTGAGGTTCTTGATAAGTTCCAG